GCCTTTAATTTCCAGGCGGTCTGGATTTGTGCTCTCATGTTCAATATTATTCATCCAAGTTTGGAATACTGCATTTTTTACTTGAGCTACCCTGAGCAGTTGTATTAATAAGGATTAAGTGATCAGATTACTTGTTTTGGCTGAGTTGTTGTCTTGCTGCCTCCGGCATCAGCAGCGCTAGCTCAGTACATTGGAGTCAATAAAAGGGACTTCACGTTTGGTTGCGCCAGCTTGTCAGGGGCTGTGATTATAAACTCACATTCGTGCCTTGTGCAGGTCGTGCCTCTCTGTAGCTAGTGCTACCTGCACTAGCAAGATTTAGTCTAATGTACTTTGCCATGCAATATTCCTTCCTCTAAAATGCAGACATACGTGGAAGTGCTAATTAGCTTGACCTGAAAAAAAAAATTCTTTCTTAATTTGCCCTGAAAATCTTTGCTTCTGGGCTGTAGGCTGATAAGAAACAAATTTGGATTGTCACTTAAGAATACATGGCAATTCTCAAGATTTTATGTATCAGCTACCAGAGAAACATAACTTACTTTCCTCTGTATTTCTTTTAGTGCCTCTTTAAAAGACAAATACATAGCTCAGCTGGGTTACACTTATGTACATATAATACAAAGAAACCTTTTTCCAAGAGCTTCTTCTCCCCTACAGTCCTTCTGATTTTGTTTGTTTGTTTTTTATAGCCTTTTCTCTCTGACCTCTGATTGTCTGTGCCCCTGATTTTGTTTGACTTTTCTGAAGGTATTGATTTTCTGAGGACTTGTTTTGAAGTACTGGTACTTTTAAAGGGGTAGCACTTACGTGAGATATGTAGGGGTTACACATGTGAACATATGGTTATTTTCTAACATGCTAGTTAACATGATAACCCTTTATGAAAGCAAGCAACAAAAAATAGTTGGAGGGCAAGTCTTCACAATACTAATGTTCCTTTTCACTTATTTCAATGTGTGAATCTTTATGCTTATCTCCTTGTCCGCAGGCAGAGCTTGGCCTTAACGAGCACCACCAGAATGAAGTGATCAACTATATGCGCTTTGCTCGTTCCAAGCGTGGCCTGCGTCTAAAAACAGTGGATTCTTGCTTTCAAGACCTTAAGGACAGCAGGTACCATGAGGAGGGTACTGTATTAAGCTACAAGTTGCAAGGAGCAAGAATTGATCAAAAAATGTTAGTGACAGTTGTAGGTTTCATGCTTGATGGGGTGACTTTCTTCAGACAGTTTACACTTACATATTCATACTGAGGAAGAAAGACCCAATAATTTTTCTGGAGGTTGTAAGTCAAGCCCTTTTAAAACTGAGTCGTTTAAATTCTTAGGAGTTAGCACAGAAATAGACAGCATGACATTGATTTACGTCGTACTACTTATGTCTGAATTTGATACAAGACTCTAATGCAAGTTATTTTTCTGTTTGTAACATTTCCAAGATAAAACGTTAAATGGTGTAACAAAATTACTTGTGGCATCTAATAACTACCGCCAGCAGATGTTTTTAGAAGGGCATTGAGTTATTTGTAAGTGATACCTGGTGTCGTGAGGTCTCTCATAACAATGCAGAATTGTTACCTTTATCATATATGACCCCTGTTGACTTTTCCGTTTAGACTTGTTGAGGAGACCTTCACAGTTGATGAGGTGGCAGACATGCTGGATGGACTGCAGACTGTTGTACACAGTGAAGTGGAGTCAGAACTCATAAATACAGCTTACACCAATGTTTTACTTCTACGCCAGCTCTTTTCACAGGCTGAAAAATGGTACCTTAAGTTACAGACAGACATCTCTGAGTTGGAGAATCGGTAACATATATTGGACTATAGAGAACCTCTTTCAATAATAAGAAAACTTCAAACTGTTGATTGCTTGTATTCTTTTCCTAACCTTAGAAAGTTATTCCTCTTCTATTGTATCAATGGTAGAATAGTTTCAAATCTTCTGTCTATGAAGTAGTGAGATAAATGATGCTTTCAGAGTTGTCATGGAAAATGTTTTATTTATGAATAATATTCTTACTGGAATTAATCAGTTTAGAGCAAGGGACAGGACATGATTAATAAACTCTTATTGTCCAAGTAGCTTCTATGTAAATTGAAGACTCAGAATCTTATGATTTTAATGCATATACCGTGCATTAATGGACACTGTCCATTTGTTTATTGTATTTGCATGCAATTTCATCCTGTCCTTCTAACAAGAATCCTATATGCAATAAGGAGCCTGCTAGAATGTGTTTCATGACATAGCTCATTTAGTAAATGAATGCCTCCCTTTATTTTTCTCTTCAAGAGAATTGTTGGAACAGGTTGCTGAGTTTGAAAAGTCAGAATTCACATCTTCAAACAAGAAGGTAGAGTTTTATTTTAAAATATCATAATCAAGTGCCATGTGCAGTCAGCAGTGATGTTTGAAATAATTACTTAGTACTGTCTCTGTGTGTTCTAAGAGAAAAAATACTTGTTCAATATAACCTTTAAAGGTCTTCAAAAAGTAGCAGTTTACAGTTCAGCACCAAGGTTCACACTGAATTGCCTTGACTATTTCCAGATTGGGGATTCTGCACACTGCTAAGCCTGATCCTAAAGTCAGCCAGACCAGAGCTGTGTTGGAGTATCTGCTCCTGGGTTCCCTTCCCCTGTAACTGTGGTAAAAACTGTGGTGCTTGGCCAGGCCTTGTCCCAACATGAAGCTGAGAAGATCCTACAGTACAGATATAGCTCTAGCTTATCCTGTATGATTAACATTGAACCTTATTTGTTTTGTAACTTAAATGTATATTTAATTAATACACATAACATTTGAGTACTTTTAAAAAGTTAATTATTTTGGACTATGTACATTTTTTTTTTGACTTGCAATCACGTAAATATTTTTTCTTTTTCTCCTAACTCTTTTGTCTTCTGGTAGTTGCAGCATCAGTGATCTTTTATTATTTTGAAATTTCTATCTGTGTGCAGGACATCTATTTAACCTTGAGCTGAAAGTGAAGTATATAATGTGGCTATATATAATTTAACGGCCAAGCTACTGGTAAAAATGAACTCAGAATAAAAGATCATTCATTTGCTTTCCAAAAGAAAGCAGAATTGACTGCTGAGAGTTATTTTATAGACTAAAAGAATACTTTTCTTCCTCTGAGCAATTGTACCCCCCCCCCCTTTTTTTTTTTTTTTTTAAACCTTTATCATTACTTTAGCCCAGCACAGATCTTATTAAGCCCAAACTGGCTCCTCTAAATGAAGGTGGATCAGAGCTGCTAAACAAGGTAAGAATTTGTCCCTTTATGCAGTTGTAGTTGATGACTGTTCTGCTTATTCAACTGAACTGGAAAGCTGTACGGTAATATTTGTGTAATGTATCTTTCACTTTTTAGTAGTCAGTGTAATATACAACAGAATGCAAAGTAAAATGCTAATAAATTAATAAAAATTCTAAAGTACCTTTTATTTATTGCTTGGTTATAGCCTCTAGCGTTTATTGCAGTATTAAACTTCCTTTTGCAAAAACATTTTGACCTTTGTAATTTTCTGCTTTTCCATTTAATGACTGAAGTTAGTCGAATTGGTATTTAGCTATGTTTCATGAGACTGGACTTTCTACAAGGAAGTAAATTAAAATATGTAGCTGGCTGAAATGATTAGGGTATCAGGGATTTTCTGTATTACTGGAAGTCAATCCTATTGAATTCCATCTTACGGGGTTTTGTTTTGTTTTGTTTCTCGTAGCTTAAGTTTCTCCTAAAGAAACAAGAACTTAAAGAACTTGAATTTTACTAATTTTGAAAATGCCTAATCTCCCACTTGTTAAAGATGGTTATAGTTGTAAAACATGTTCTAATACCTAACATTTTCAGTAGTTTTTATCGTGGATTGAACTTATTTGGCTATTTAAAAATGCCACATGTCTTGCAATACATTCTTAAAGCATGAGGAATCAAGAAGTTATTCAATGAAGAGCTATGTTTTCGGGTCTTCCAGGCTGCATTGCCAAAGGGGCCTGTCAAGAGCAGTGTCTCAGTCATAACTGTTGTTACCTTTTAAGATGATTAAAACATTCACACTTTTGTTTTACTTATAGCGCAATATAAATATTTCCTGAAAGTAAATTCAAAATCGGTTTCACAACAGTCTTAGTTAAATAAGTGCATCTGATACCTGTTTGTCTCAAAAATAATTCAAGGTTTAAATGGTGACTAATAACACATGGTTATTTCCTGTGACACAGAACACTATAAGCAGTAGCCTGATATTTCTCTTTTAAGTAGGAACTATGAATAAATTATTACCTGCTTGTTATTGGAAAATAGAGGTGATAAACAGCAATGAGATTTGTATCTCATAACATGCAATTTTGTTATCATGAACCATTATACTGCAAGATGGTAAAGTTACTGACTCTGATTCAGTAAAACAAGCGTTAAATTTAAGTGAGAGGTCTTACAGATTACAGTATAACTGCTCATATGTATTTAAAGAGACTTAAATTCTGTGCTAACTGAGGCAGAAGATGCAATAATTTGCACGTCAGGCTTATGAAAAAATCAGTAGTCCGTATCAGCAAGGCCATCTTTACAAGCATTTACAAGCATTCTTGCTTTCCTGAACTGTAAGGCTTATTTTCTTACCTGAAATATTTGGAAAATTAAAAAGAGTGCAAGAGTGTTCACAGGCAAACTATTTTTTGTTTATTTACCCAAAGGAAATTACTAGACTTCAAGAAGAAAATGAAAAATTGAAGACTAGACTCAAGACGATAGAAACACAGGTGAATTCACTGTGAGCTTGGATACCTAATGTTGTTTAAGTATTAAAACTATCCAAATAAGAATATCGTTGTTATTATTATCATGTTTTCAATGAAAATATACTTATGAGTTTTTTTTTACAGGCTACAACTGCACTAGATGAAAAGGCCAAACTAGAGAAGTCACTGAAAGATTTACAGATGATTCAGGGAGATCAAAAGGTAAATGTAACTGTCAAGATTTTTTTCCTCAGTATTTAGCCCTAGTATGCCATAAGTTGGTTCGTATGGTATGTGTCTTTTCGGGCAGACATAAAGGTTCTGCTTAGTATTGTCGTGTTCCTGTTGACATTGTCGTGTTCCTGCTGGTCTGTCAGTCAGCAGATAACCTAGTATGTTAGTTTCTTTTATGACAAATTTTGTGCCACATAGGCTGTGATAAGATACTATCAGAAAGTATTGTTCTAGAGTTCATATTTTCAAGGGCAATATTTATTTTATATTAACAAATGCAAATTTATGTTTGTTTATTCCTGTTTGCTAATAAAGCAATGACATCTAACCTGTTTTTTAAAGCAACAATAAAACACTTAATCTTTTCCAGCATTTATCACACCTGCTTGATGCAGACGTGCACAAGCCAGACTTGCTTCTTCTTGATTCAGGTTTTAAAAACCTAGATGCATACATTTATGTCCTGATCATATATTCCTAAACGTCAGTTGAAGTTTTGCCACAAACATCAGCGAGCATGGATCAGATGACGAATGTTTACTTTTAAATAATCCTACCCATATCAATGTACTATCAAAAATGCTTCGCCATGTATTTTTACTACATGAAGTTCTTAATCTTTTCTGTAAATGCTGGATTCAAACATGATTAGCTGTTGCTACTGAAAAGAACGTTAAAAGCTAGTGCTCCAGTAGACTAACATAGGAAAATCTGTTCTCGTCACCTTAATGTTTTTCTTTAAGCCTGTACCTTTATTTTGTTAATAATAAGAATTTTCTAGTTTGTTAATTTTTGATTTTTTTTTTGTCTTGGATTTAAAACATTTTAATTGAAACTGTTAGCAAAATTACAACACCTTCATCCCATTGTTTTGAGAAACTGACATTTAGAATTTCTGCAGTATTTACAGATTTGAAGCAAGCTTTAAGGTTCACTATTTCCACTTTAGTTTTCATGTTTTAATTATGATTTCTTTTTATTTTGCTTTCTAACTGGGGGTTTATGGTATGTACTTGGCTTTCTTTTCTAATTGTGTCTAGTAACTTTCAAAATCTGTATTCAGTACAGTACTATTTAGTAGGGAGTTTATCAGTCATGGCAAATATTTCTTCAATAATTTAAGGCTTAATAAAATAGATGAAGGTTTAATATTGAAGGGTTTCATTAAATGCTGGATTATAGTATTTGTAGTTTAAAAAGATTGGAACCAAATCTCATCTTTTTTTTGTGATTAAACATGGATTGGCCTGAATATCAGGGCTGCTATCTGCAGCTTTCATTTCCTAATTTGTTATCTGTAACCTATCACCTTCCTCTCCTGCTCTTACATTTTTTTATTTATAGGCGCATATATATGTGGTTAAAACTAGCTAGTAGATACAATGTTGAAATATACTACTTTATTTAATCACTGAATATATTAGTTGCTTGAAGAAAAATCTATGTTTCTTCTGATTTCACTCTATGTTTTTGTAAGATGAGTGTCAATAAAGTCATATGAACCCAGCTGCACATTAAGCAGTAGTTTTCAAGCTCTTTGGACAAACAAATAGCTGCTAAGTCACAACAGGTTTTTTTTAAAGAACAACTCTTTTCTCAGTAATTTCTAACTATTTTTCTTTATAGCTTAAATATGGTTCTACCGAACAAATGTAGACCACAGTTTTGGAGGAACTGCTCTGATAGATCAGTTTAACTTGGGGATCTAGAATTTTAGTGTAGTTAACTTTTCATTGTCAGTTCAGAATAGACAGTGACCATTTTTCTAATCTGAAACAAATTACTCTGTGGTGTTTTTCAGCACTGTAGCTTTGGACTAGGAATCAAAATTCAAAATAAGCTTTCCTTCTGTGTAGGTACTATTATCAGTTGTATTCCTGCACTCATCACCTCCCACACAGAAAATGGAGCAAAGCTTCCTCCGTTTTAGGTATTTGTTGTTTTTAAGGTGCCAGTAATTCAGCCTCATCCTGAGTCATTATACTTTTAATAGGGTGTTTGTTTGTTTGTTTGTTTGTTTAATGGAAATCCATAGAACAGTTACGTGAATATAATGTTCTGTAGTCCAGGGCTGATGGCAAAAAGAGTTTGGGTTGTTTCCTCTCACAGTTATGGAAGATGCCTTACAAGCAACTGTGGAGACTTTTTTTTTTGGTGTCTCATCAGAAAACAGTGCAATATCAGTGCCTGATTGATGACATGATCCTTAATGCTGTCATCCTTTCCTACAATGCAGTACACTAATGACTTTTTAAATGGCTGTGATAATGGCTTTAAAAATGGATATTCTCATCTTAAACTGTGATTTGCTATTTCCATATGCTAAATAACTTCTTGTGTTATGCTTCACTATGTAGTTTCACCTAATTTCTATAAAGAAGGGAAGAACAAGAACTTGATATCTCAAACTGGCAGAAAGAATGCTCTAGTCATCTTTAAAATTCATTTATTAACAATTTCTAAAGCTAGAAGTAAAATTTTTTTCAATATTCTGTAGTGTGTGGACTTTCTTAATTTAGTTAAAAAAAACTTTTAGTTTGGGCTTTACAGGAATAGTGTGGACGTGAGTCGTAAAAATTAAGACGTACCCATTTTATATGGAATTTTGCATTTGACATATTTTAAATATTTCTTCTTTTGAAGGCTCATGTAAACCAGGATATAACTGAACTGGAAAATAAAGTGGCAGCTTTGAAATGCCAGTTTGAGAAGACCTTGAATGACTCTACTGCAAATCAGAAATCCTTGGAAGAGAACTTGGTGACAACAAAACATGACTTGCTTAAGGTTCAAGATCAGCTATGCATAGCTGAAAAGGTTGGCTTTTTTGTAATGTAAAGATGGGTTCCTTGCTCGCTTCTTAACGGATTAGTAATTTAACAAGCATGCACCAGAGTGCATGGACCGCAAGTTTACTAGGGTCACATTGGTGCCAGCATATTTTTATGTCTGTGGAAAAACATAGTTATATGTAAAATAGCAAATACACAGCTCACTGCATGAATTATAACTAGATGAATGATTAAATATTGCCCGTTACCTGAACGCAGACAGTATTCCCAGTCTTCAGAAGATTTTTAGCATAACTTTCTTAGAAAATAAGCTTGTCTTTCTATCTTTCTCTCTTGATAATAACGTTTTAATCTCTTAGCTGACTTTGGCTAAATTTGAATAGGGAATAGTTAGAGAAACTAGCGTCCTGAAACCTAAGGAGGAAAAAAGTCAAGTTAAAAGGATATTACCCTGGTTCTAATATAGATGTAAATAATATGTTGATGTTATTGCTATGTAGGAATTAGAGAAGAAATTTCAGCAAACAGCTGCCTACCGCAACATGAAAGAGATTCTTACAAAGAAGAATGAACTGATAAAGGATCTACGTAAAAAGCTTTCCAAGTAAGTGGTGCTGTTCTGATTGTCCAAACAAGATGCATGATCTGCTCCCGTTTTGTTTGTATAAATGTGGAAGTATCTAAAACAGACTCTAAACTTTACTCTAAAAAGATTTTCTGCTAGGCTGTTTCCTGACTTTTAATCGGCCAGTCCTTTTAATGGATACTAGGTGAATAAGATTGGTGTGTGCAACAGCAGCTATTGCCTAGCAAATAATGAGAATATGTAGTATCTTGAAAGGACCGTGGGTGTGGTAGTTAACACCTCAAGTGCTACACACGCAGATACAGAAGGGAGAAGTACCTGCTGCTTTGGCATTATCTCATTTCTTAACGCATTTGTTTGAGAGAAGTATGCAGTATGTAAGCAGAGTTAGGCCTGTATTGAGTAATAAAGATACACCCTGGCCCTTATGAGAGGTAGAAGACTATCATTCTGTAAATGACAAGTGATCTTTGGCGACGTTGATTCCTTAGAGCTATGCTATGGAAGGACAGGTGTGGAAATTCAAACTGCTAGTTAAACTTCTCTGCCAGTATTTTGGGATTTGTTCGTGGGCTCCTGTTCATTCCCTCATTCTACTGTTTGGTAAACTAGCCAACTGCAAAAAGAGAAAGTAGTCTAAAAATTACATATATTTGTCTGTGCCCTAACTCATATAGTGAACACTGACATGAACTTATTGCGAACGGCAGTAATTCATTACTTCAGTTTTGTATTGTCTTTAGACACAAACTATCTTTTAGGTATTTTCTGCTCTGTTTTGATTTTTTTTTTTTTTTCCTCCTCAGGTATGAGCCAGAGGACTAAAATACAAAGAACATCTGATCTGTCAGAAGCTGCCCTAGAAAGAAAATGTAGACTTGGTGTTATTTTTCAATTGTTTTGTTTGGTTTACTTTCTGCTTCTAGTGCTTAAAATAACTTTTAATACTAATAAAATGCTTAAACTTCTACCTTACTTCCTTCTAAGCTTAAGTCATGGATATTAGTTTCTGTAGTAATGTTCTAATTGTTAACTTTGCGCGTTCCCTGAGAAATAGCAAACAGCAGTTTATTGAAGAACTGAGACAATCCTTTACAAAGAATGTTTATTTTTATTAAGAAAAGAAAAAAAGATAAAATAAGCATTAGTTTTTTTTCTTAGATTTCTCTGAGGTGAAAACTGGAGTTGTTACTTTCATTCACATGGCCATGATGTGGCATTGTCTGTGAAAATTACATCAGTGGAAGAAAAGAGCAGGAGGAAAAAAACCACTCTAATTCTGTAGTATTATTCACTCTGGATGTCTGATCCCTTAGCAGAATTTGATCAGTAACGTTTTACTAGATGTTATTTGTGAGATAATGAGGTAAATATACTGTATAGGGGAAGCATCTGGCCCTCTTGAATAAAACCATTAATTGCAGTTATGCTATTGCCCTTGAATTTATTTGAAACAAATTTGAACATTGGAATTCTAACTCTTTCCAGTATTTCTGATGTTAAGATGACAATCTGAAAAAGTCTAAGTAAGTTGCTAATGAAGCAGGTTTCTCAGGAGATAAGTTATTTTAGAAGTTTTCACCTCCTTTATTGTTGCAGCCTCACTCAAAAGAGGTTTTTTTTCCTCATATCTTGCACTTGAAATCCTCTACCTTGGATTCATCTGGCAGCCTGTTTATAGTGCTTTTTACTTGCTCGTCTTTCCTTGTTCATATGTATGTTGTATATTACTCCAAATAAAACTATTATGTTTTCAAAAATTTCATCTTTAAGGAGCTATTTTTTTTTATAGGAACATTTTATATAGCAGTTTTCTTACGCCTGTTGGAAGTAGTGGCAGGTCAGTAAAGGATATTGCTAGAAATACAAACATGTAAATTAGAAACTCATGCCAAAGGCCACACCACTCCATAAACAAGCTTCCCATTGGCTGGGCTGGGAAAGGCTTGTGTGTGTGCTGGGGGCTACAGAAACTGGCATCTTCGACAGGAGCTTGTCTCTGGAGCTGCTTGAGACCATTTTTCCTCACCCTTTCTCGAAAGGGCATAGCTGTTAAAATTTTCTGCAGTCTGTGGTTGCGCTTTTTCCCCCATTAATTAAATGGGGATTGGATAAAGCCCTGTGTCTGTAGCAACTGATTATTGCAGTAGCACAACAATAGGGCTTTGTGGGATTACATACTCCACATGCAGCGTTAGATTACATTCATGAAAAGGTGGTTTTTTGTTTGTTTTTGTCTCTTGTACAGTCACTAAAATATTAAGTTCTGAACACAGATGTACCAAAGAGTTTCTGGCCTGTGTTTGCTTAGAGTCGTTGTGTTGACATTAACAGGACTACTTGTCTGGGTGAATGCTGCAAGTGTTTTTCATTGAAACTCACTTTAAGAAGACCAGTTATTGTTCAAATGTCAGGTGAACAGTTTAAGAAAGGCAGAGACTCTCATGATTTCTGCTGGTTTTATCTTTTATGACAAATCCTTGGCTGCTGACTTATCTACAATATTGAATCTCTGATAGGCCTTAATCATCTGCTTAGACAGCATTTCAGTATGGAAGTACACTCTCAACTTCAGTATACGCCTAGCTCTCAGTGAAGTAGGTTGGTCATAGAAAGTGTGGTTACCGACCTTGCTATGTTGTCAAATGCATAAGGCAAGCCCTACAGAGAACTCTAAAGTGCAAAAGTGAAAACTGACTTTGATTATCTGTTTTGCAAGTTGCCAGTGCAGAGAATGAGGTTAGTGTGATGTGCTCTCATTGGTTTGTACTGCTGAATGGTTAAGGTAGGTGTGTTTTGATGGAACTTCTTATAAAAACATATAATCTGTTTGCCTGTCAAAAAAGACCTGTGGCAGTATATGATAACGATTCTCCTTTTGTTGAGGGAGGTACAATGTTCTGGAGATGACATTTGAATCTTCTGATCACATGATGTTTTTAAAACTGCACTTCTCTCTCTAAACTGTAAATTCTAATATTGTACCTACTAGCCTTTGATCATTGCAAGTTCATTACGCTGCTCAAATAAACACCATCCATTTCTTCCACTTGAACTATTAACTCCCTAGTTATGCCAACAGGAAACAGAATTTCTCCATAACTAGCTGATCTGCAGGAATCAAATAGCTTTCATGCTGTGTTTTTGCTTGCAAAGTGAAGCATGTTTTCCTGCAGAAATGAAATTTGGGCAGCTCAGCTTCATTAGCATTGACTGTGACAGCCAAAAAGCACCCCTTCACTGTAACAGTTACTAGAGTTCAGCAGCTGGCAACTAATAGATGAGCCAGTAGTACTGCTACCTTCTTAATGAGACATTATATAGCCTAACGTTTTTTCACTGTTCAGCCTGTTTTTCTCTTATGAATAATAGCCATTTTCTTTAAATGTCATAAAATGAATACTCAGTCCGTAACTCTTAGACTGCAAGTGATCCTCTTTCATTTGACAGACCTGTGTGAAGACAGCTGGAATTTGCATGTTTCCCACATACCTTGCCTTTTGGGAATACACAGTCATCTATCATGCGCTTATATTTTGAGCCAACCAAAAAGTTGTTGAGATTCCTCAGTTCGTCTCTTTGTGGTGTGTTTGGTGGTGTCTTAGTGTTGGCTTGTGTGTGATACCAAACGCTGTCAAACACAGACAAACGATTCTTATCGCCCCAGGAAACGACATGAATTGTCTTGTGGCGCCAGGTGGCCGAACTAATCAAGCTCAAAGTTCAAGCTGTTCTAGGAAGACAGGCCTTTTAAAACTTATTAAGAACAAATTGAATATAATTCGATGGTGAGTCTGTATGTGAGCAGGTAAGAATTACTGCTATGAATGCTTTCAACTGGCTTTGAGTACAGAACGTGTCCACAGGGGTCAACCGATGATTGTCAGTTTTGACAATGGCACAGTGAAAGCATTGCCCTAGAATTCCTGCCCTGTTCTGGCCACCTACACAATTCTCCCCAGAGGCCCTCTGACCTGCTCTCCTTCGCAGACGCTCTGGGGGGGAAAAAAATCTGCTTTCCAAGTCTTATTACATCCGCGCAGATGTATCCTGAAACATTAGGCAGCATTTTGGGTGATATTTGGGATCCACTGTCCTGCAAATAAAGGTGGGACAGTCCATCTTAGCAGTCTCAGTATCTTAATATCTTAATTTCTATTAAGATACTAATAGGTATTACTCTCTCTTTCTTTCTTTTTTGTGGGAACCAATGAAGAGTATCTCAGTATATCTATTACAATAGACAGTGGTTGGTGTTCAGGAGGCTGGTGCAATCTTTAACCAGCTGGAGGCAGCTGCTAAGCAGATGGGAGGGGCGCTGGAGTAGCCTTGAAACTGCTTTTTTAGGTAACCAGGAGCCTGGGGCGATGGCAAGCAGCGCTTGCAGGGCCCTAGTTCTCTGTTTAGCCCCATTTCAATCCACCGCAGGGCTCTGAAAGGGGAGCTCAAGCCTGCCAGCTGCTGGTGAGCAGGAGAGCAGCACAGACGGTAGGCAAGCTTTGCCAGAGAGGGAAAGCCCGAGCTGGCATCCGTTGGTGAGCAGAGGAACTGACTGAATAGGCCAAGTATCCTTTCATTTTTAGTTGTATGCCAGATTGAGGCTCTTTGTTTGGTTTTACGCAGGCTGGTTCTGAGGTCTGGGTGAATTGGGAGCAAGTCTCTGAGCTGCGCTGAGTGCACCTCTGTGGAAAGAGTACCCTAAAAAGGACCACAGCCCGAAGATGGCTACAGCTCTGGTGCTTAAAAAAGGCAAAGAGAGTGAAAAGAGCAGCTCTTTCCAGGCATGTTTTCTTAGGAAAACATAAGGATGCTATGTGAGACTCAGGTAGTGCAGACCAGTTTTAGGGTGGTTAGGGGTTTTAGGGCAGTTAGGGGGCTGAATATAAGAGTTCAGAGTACAGATCTCAGGGGCACCATCTACAGTGTGGAACCAAGCAGCAAGTGGCAACAAGGAGGAATATCTGCAGTCCTGTAATAACTGCCAGTAACTGTTTAAAGGAGTACTCCAGCTACACATGGAGTAATCACCCTACAGTGAAAGGTCTGGAAATCCAGCTGGGTTCTTTCCGTATCCTAAAATAAGGAAATACGGAGCTTAAAGCAGTGACTGTGAACAGTAAATCCAAATAGAAAAACACCATGGCATCTGCTACCGAACAAGGGGAGCTGCTGCCCTGGTTATGTGTTCGTGCACGTTTTCGTCTGGAAGAGAGTATCTGCAGGAATGGCAGTTATGAAACACCAGAGCTGGCTCCTGCTGACACTTTGTCCTTCTCCCACCTGCCTGGCTCATCAAGGAAAGCACACCACAGAGCTTTTGTTTTTTAAATGTAGGGGGTCATAGCCCTAAATATTGGCTGTAGCTTAATGAAGTCCAGGATACCTACTAGAATTATCTAGGAGTTGTCTATACCAGATGTCTTCCACTGCTTATTACTCCTTCTTCCCTCATTTCCATTTCTTTCAGTGACAGAGCTCTTAAGTTTCTCTCCTACCCTCCAAGTATAGTTCCCAACCTGTTGCTAGGACCCGAGACTCCCTTTCTGGTGTGTTTTAAGTAGCTGGGAGATGGACTTGGCATCTTACTGTCCAGGTATCAAGGGACAAGCCCAGGATTTTCAGTGGGTGCCTTCACCTAAGTGCTTCCAGTTTTGCCTTGGTGAGGAATGGGCTTCCCTGCTTTGGATACCTACTGCTGGTTCAGTTTACAGAGAGCAGGTCTCATTCTGTCCCATCATTCCCTGGTTTGCTGGGGAAAAGATGGACCCCCCCCCACTCTTTCCCCCCCACTCT